ATCTCAGGGGAAGCAGGGTCTGCAAGTTACTGCTGCCTGCCTGGCCCTTGGCTTTCCCTCCAAGCTCTCCCACACAAGGATTGCTGAGGAGCAATCCTGCTTTGCTTAGCAAATCGCAGTTCCCATGTGCCCTGTACTCCCACACACAGACCCACCGTGAACTTACAGAACGAGACAACACTGCTGCTCTAAAATCTTTTATCCAGAGCTGAGATTGCCCGACTGCTAACCTTGTTCAGCTCCAAGTAATCCCAGCACTTTGCTTGGCTAGAGGTTGGCTGTACTGGGAATAAATGCCCTTGCTCTTATTGACAAGGGGTAACATCCAAAGAAAACCATTTCCTTTCGTAATTCAGCATTATTCATCGACCAGCACCACATAAAGTTGGCAGGATGCTGGCAGTCTGCTAAAATCCACAACATGGGCAGAGGAAGTGGCAGCGTAAGCACCACTGGACCAACTYAAATCTCAGCAGAATTTGACCTGAGCCTGCTCCAGCTGACAAAGCCCAAATCTTCAGGAGCTAAGTGTCAGCACACAGGYTGGAAAACTCATATTTTTTGCTTCTGCCTGGAAATTATAATATGCCTCAGTGATTTTTCACTTGAACACATCTGTATCCCTTTGTCCTCTCTTACATTGATCAGTGTTATGGGTTTTGGAAGGTATAAGAAATCCTCTGCTAGAGGATGTGAGAGGTTCAGCCCTGAAGTTTTGGTTCTATTTCAAGTGAACTGCTTTGCCCAATGATGAACAACCTACTATCCATCAAAATCTCTCCTCTTCCTGAATCCTACAATCATCAKCAGCAGCACCTTGTGGCAGAGTTCCTTATGTCACTGTGCACAGCATGGGAAAATACTTACTTTTATCATCAAATTGCTACCCTTTCATGTTCTYCTGAATGCAGTCCAGTTTCTCTACTGAGAAAATCCCTGTAGAGAAGCATTCATTCTCCCTCTTCTGTGCTGTTGATTGCTTTGTTTTTCACCCCCATGTCCCTCCTGATGTGTCTTCTGTGCTAACTATACCCATCTTAAGGAATCTCTCTGTGCACCAGGCATTAGTGGGATTACCTGATCAGAGTAGGGATGAACAGTAAATGGAGTCTGAAGGTCCCTGTGCCTGGAGCTGTGGATCTCAGTTCTGTGTCTCAGACCTGGGAATTTTTGTCTCGTGAGGCAACTTAGCTCACGTTTTATAAATTCTCAGGAATCTGCAGAGTGCGATGTTTTGGTCTCAGRGAGAAAGATGTCAGACAGCCCCCCACACTGTGTGGTGGAGGAAGCCAACAAGGCAGTTGACTGAACACTTGGGAACACTGGCAAAGTAGATAAATTTGAGCTTTTAAGGAAAGGCCTTTGGGAGCACTAATGTCACAYGAGAGCAAGCTAGAAGAGACTTCAAGCTCTTAATTATGAGCCTACACAGCCTAAAAAAGCATGAATGATTAAAGGTTCAAGTTTTTTTAAGTGTGCTGACCGTGGGTCGAGGTGCAGTTTGGCGACATACCCCACCCTGGAGGAATTGATGGGGTCTGAGCAGTGTCCCTTTCGAAGAACTGGCCTTAGGCAGTCATGCCTGCACCCGAGAYGAGGGTGCTGACAGCCACAGGTCTCGTCCATGCCCTGTATTTATTAATCTTCTGTGTTAGTGGTAGGTTTTAAATCTGCTAGGCTGAGCTGTTTCCCAGCAAGCACTTCCCAGAGACGCAGGGGCCTCTCGCCTGTGAGACAGATGATCTGGGGCTGTCTCAGCTCTGACGCGATGAGCTGCAGTGTCTCCCTTGTAAAGTGAGGGTAGTCATCCTGACAAACAGCTCTGTATGTGGGCAGGGAGTGCTCTTAATCACACACACGGAGTACTTGGAGATCTCGGGATGGGAAGCGGWGCAGAAAAGCATAACGCTTATTATTAGGCGGAAAGGCCAGGGGCAAAAAGGGCAAAGTGATTTTAGACTTCTCCAGGGCCCTGGAGGTGTACGGGACCCAGATTCCAGTCTGGCTTATTACCTCCTTTTTTAGGCTTCTTCTTTTATTAGGAACAATTAGATACAAGGAGGAAGGGGACAGATATCATCTTTCCTGTGTACATCCTGCAGAATAATTGCAGAGCTTTCCCAGAGCAATTTTGCATGCTCAGTAAAGGGCATCTTTGAAGCCTATCAAATATCTCATCCCTTGTAGGCATACATATGAAGGCTTGCAGCACACGTCTTTATTAATCCCAAATACTATGAACAGAAAAGACCACTGAAAGCACTCAAGGAGAGGAAGAAGAGGCCTTGGAAGTAATTCCAAGAGCTGGATGGGATTGTGGGGCAGCTTCTTATGGTTGGGTCAGGATCATTGCCCCCAGAGGCATTAGAGGAAAGCAGGAGGTGACTGTGCCTGCAGCACCAACACCCTGGGAGAGAGGGGCAGCAGAGGCTGGAGTTATGAAGATGCTGAAAAACACAGGAATGTGTAGAGCACTGCCACTGGAAGGTGATTACCGTGGTGAAGAGGGGAGGAAAGCCATCCAGGGGTATGGCTGGAGAGAATCCAATCCAGGCTCCTGCCAGCAAGCTGCCTGCTAGGTATGACTTTGATCTCGGACACTAAGGACATCTCCTGGCCTGCTGCTGAAGCAGAGGAAAGTTCCCTGCCAAAAAGCATCTTTACCAATGCTTCATAGGCAAGAAGAAAGRATGCTGGGTACACAGGAGACACAGCCTTGAGCTGTCCCGTACAACCTTGGACACTCTGCAGGGAAGGTGTCATTAGAGAACACAGGCACTAAGCACAAAGAYACTCCCAAACCATGGAAAGAATATGAATTTAAGGGCTGCACWCTATGGAAGTGTTTTCTCTCTTGAGCACATTTAGCTGCTGTATAGYTCTGTACAGCTCCCTAGGCAACAGTCTTCCCAAATGACACTGTAACAAAGCCCAAAGGTGCGGGAGCTTCCCTCATYAAAACCCTTGTCGTGGGAGCAAGTGTCCTCAGCCCAACTGCTTTGTTTTCTATCCCGTGGCTGTTAAAGTGTCTTGCAAGGCAGGCTTGAGGCCCTTTGTTGTAAAGGTGGCTGCATCTCAGCTGTGCTCTGTGTCAGCTGGTTGAAATGCTTTGGGATTGCCTAGATTATTTATTTATTATTATTATTATTATTATTTTTATTATTATTATTACTGCTATTACTATTATTACTATTATTGTTATTACACTGAAAATGCCAAGGAAGAGCTTTAACTTGATCTCATCAGATTCCTGAAACACCCGATACGACGTGTAAGCTGCAAATCTACCTCTGTACGTTAACTGCTCTGCGGAGCTTTAATTCAATGCAGTCTGGAGCGCCCTGAAAGCARCACCAGAGTCACCCCTGGGAGGRAGGGAGGGATGGAGGGCAGGAATCAGAGCCACRGAGCTCCTGGGCTCACACTGGGCAGGCACAGTGCACACTCAGCCGCTGGCGCTCACACACGGTCTGTATCCCAGGTGTGCCTGCCAACAGAGAGTTTCCAGGAAACCACGGAGCAGGCACCAACCAAAAGTGATTGAGGCCCCACATCCTGCTTCAGGGCATGGAGAAAAGGGGATTGGCAGCATGCGTGGCTGCAAACAGATGTGATACACGCTGTCACACACAGCTCTGCCAGTGGCCTCCTCCTGCCCTGTAACCCACTCTATTGCCCGAGACTGAGGTCCCCAYAATCTCYTATCAAAGAATCTCATTTTGGAGTWATGATGGCCTCCCTTCTGTGAGGTTCCTATCCTATCTGTGCACCTGTCTCCCAGCTTGTGGAAGTGCTATATGGCCCCTGCTCCTAGTYCTGTCTGAGGCTAGTGAGGTCAGTGCTTTGCTCTTTTGCTGGCTGTCCGGGCAAGGCGTGAAACTCCCCATCAATTTTCCCCTTTTTGCACCTRATGAGATTTAAGCCGAAGCAGAAGTGGGTGATCAGACTCGTGTGTGAGGCTCCTGAACCCTGCTCAAGGAAGCTTCCTCTGGCTCCAGAAAACGATCTGAAAGCACCTGCAGAGGCTGCACCGCTCGCTCTCCCCCACTCGCTTGCTGAGCTGTGTGGACTTCAAGTTGTTGGATGGGTATTTACAGCTTGTCATTATTGCTCTGCTACCAATGCTTGGTGCTGCGCTGCTGATTTGAACACCCCTTCTCTCCAGCTGCACAGAAATTGCCCCTTGGCAGGTTTCCCTAAGGAGTTACTCAGGATCTGGCCGCTTCTCTSMAGATTTGCAGCACYTTGAGGGGTTTCTCTCTGTCACACKWWMGCTGCTGAGCCTYCYCCTCTTCTCCCCTGSCCCGAGGCTGGATGGGTGAGTGGCCAGAGTGGGATGCCGAAAAAAAGTACTTTCCAACTCACCTAGCAACATCCACCCCAAACTCTGCTCCAGAAAACCAGCAAGTGCATCCCTCGGTAGATGCCCGTGTGCCAGGCAGAGGTAGAAACGGGCAGAACCCTTCTCCAGACCTCTTCTTGCCCTCTCCCAAATCACCCTCACAGGAGGGGATGCCCATTTGGGGCCGGTTCCCTACCTGTGCCTGCACACAAACCCCATCGCCCTTCTGTAGTTTGGCTTCTCCGGTATTTGTCACCGAGAGGCGCAGTAAAACCTCTCCGGGAGCAGCGGCGTGCCCGGGACCCGCGTTTGGGTACCCTCGCCCGSAGATCCCAGCGGCGAGATTCCCGGCTGGATACACACCAGGAATGGGGGCATCTCCCCACCGCTGGAAAATTCCAGCCCGRGAGTGGGATGTCGCTCCTCTGGAAGGAGTCCGGACCGAGGTGTGAGGGGATGCAAGGACAGCGGCTCCCGGTAAAGCTCGGAGCCGGTTCGGGCGCTGAGCAGGGATGAAGTTCGGGGATATATCTGCCGGTCGCGGGGCTCGGGATCCATCCAGCGCCAAGCACCGGCGAACCGCAAGGTCACCGCCGTATCCCCGGCGCTGCTCCCACCCTCAAAACCCCCCTACCCGAGCGCGGCTTCTCCCGCTTACCTGGCGAGATGGGCCGGTCACGGCGGAGACGCCGGGGTGCCTGGAGCGGGGCGGCACCGYTCCCGGGGCTGCCGGGGGAGCATCGCCCGCCGCCGGGCGGAGGCGTGTCCTCCCTTCGCCCTGGGAWCGGCACCGGGACCGGCACCGGGACCGGCCCGTCGGCGCTGCCGGTGGATGGCGGCGCCCGCCCTCAGACGGCGCCGGCGATGCGGTTACGGGCGGCGCGGAGCTGATTTAAGGCCACCCCGTGCAGGGGGTGGGGGAGCGCCGAGGGCCGCCCGCAGCGGCTGCTGCGCGCCGCGCATCCCGCGGGGCCACCTTAAACCGGGAAGGGGCGAGCAGGAGCCGGCGAGSGGGGAAGGAGCGGCGAGGAGGCGACCCGAGCTGGGAAAAGGGGGAGAGGAGAGCGGGGCCGGGCACCCTCCAACAGGGAGGGTTCGCTGCCCCGGACCGGCCGCTGCTCTTCCCGCCGAGGGCGAGGGGCGGGATTTTCCTTTTCCCGTCCCGGGGGTCTCGCTTTGCCGCTGRCCGGGTGCTGGAGTGATTTCTCGCTCCGGCTGCTGCAAGGAAGAGCCACCTGCCGTGGCTACAGCCCGTGCTGTAGGGTTGGCTACCGATAAGGCAACCTAGGGGATTTGGTCCTCCACCTGGCTTCTTATACGCACATAGCCACTGCGTGCCTCAGTTTCCCTAGGTGGGATGATGGTGATGTTACTGCAACCACTTCCCACTGCAGCAGCCGCTGGGCTGTTCCTCGCTCTTGCCACCTGAACAGCCACAGTCGAGTGGCCTCTGCCTCGGAGCAGGTTAAGGGGGAGCAGAAGATGGGCCTGGTACAGTTTTTCCCTTGCTTGCCTCCATTATGAGCTGTTTCTCAGCCATAGTAAAGTCACTATGCTGCTTGAAAGGGGGTGTGAGAAGCAGTTCTTCGTTCATCCTCCCAGTTGGGGCTGGATGCACAGAGGGCAGAAGTGAGGGCTGTCACACCTCAGCCCTGCTGTAGGACACTTGGTGCACTGGGCTGCACAGCACTCATCTATCCCTCCCCCATCCTTCTGAGGATTGTGACTGCCATATTCCTGCAATTTGTCCTGAAGAGGTTTCAGCAAAACAGCTCTCAGCAAACCATGAGACACAGAGGATAGCACAGTCCCAGGCTTGGGTGRGCACYTGTTGATCAAGTTTGGCTCCAGGTMACAAAGCCCCTGCCATGGGATGCAGTAAGCAGGCTAAAATATTTGGAGATCCCTGGCTGGCTCTTGGAGAACAAGAGAAGTCTGTCTTCTCAGGTTAGCTGGCAGGTGTTGGCCATGTTTCTTTCTGGAGTAGGCATTGTTGAAAACACCTTGGAAAGAAAGACATCAAGCAACATTTTACAGCCCAAATGACATGTTCAAAGTGGAACACAGAGGAAAATCCAACACAGGCAAAGCAGCAGCCCAGTCCTATTGCTTTGCTCACCAGCTTCTCCCTTTGCCAAGGGAACATTTTGAGGAGGATGTGTTCAGCGTCCAGCAGGATTATGGCCATCCTCACCACTGCCATGGCCATGACTGTGCAGACCCAATGGCTGTGTCCTTCTGTGCTTCTCCCCCAGTCAGAGCAGGGCATGAAGAGCTGCTCTTCACCAAGTGTACTGAGGGTTGGCATGGCATCCCAGGCTGCCTTTAATGGGAGGAAGCCATCTGT